TTTATTTAATATTAAAATGATCATTTTACAGCCAGTACATATAAAATGAAATACTCCTGTGCAGATGTATTGAAATTTTTTTAGTACCGTTGGAAACTAACCCCCCCCCCCCCCCCCCCCCGATGGGATTTTCGAGTTTAGATAATTCTCTGTTTGTTGTCAGAGATTTGTTACCCCCCCCCCCCCCACACACACACACACACACAGACGTACACTTTCACAATCGATGCTACGGTGCTGAAACCATTACATGCAACAATTTTATGGAATATCTTGAGAAGATTTTGGTATTTACAACATTCTTTTTCTTTAAAAGTATTGAGAAAAAGCCAGAATCGTAACAATTAAGGCATATTTTTGTCTCCGAGAAAAAAAACTTTTATTTATTTTCATTAAAAGATGACTGCACTTAACGCCTGTTTTTGGGTCCTTTTCGGTTGCTTCTGTTGCTTTTATATCTAAACCTTATTTCACTTTTGTATGTTTATGAAAGAATCCTGTCAATTTGGAACCAAATTTAAATCTTAAAATGATTTTAGACTGTGACACAATAAAATAATTCGATGTTTTTTGTCCTTATTGCTTTCCAAATATAGTGAATTTACACTTACCTGCCCTTGATTGAACATTAGATATGCATGAGAGGTGGAGCTAACATTGTAAGAATGGGTCTAAAATTAGACTTGATAAATAACAATGACATGTTTGGAAAAAACGTGATCACTCTTTCCAATCTCTCTCTCCATGCTGTATGGAACAAATACACTTCTGACACAGATTTCAAAACGAAATTAACAATATGAGCATGTCAACGTGATTAAAGTAGATTTTATATCAATGTCAGATGACTTAACGTGTTCGAACACAATGTCCTAGTTAGCACTAAACATGCTACCTTACAAGTCACTTGACGGAATTTAGTATCCACAAAGTTACCTGAGGTAAGAAATCACGTGGTAAATTATAATATTCAACAAGTCACAACCCTTTGTTACAACAAAGAGAGCGAATGTAAGAAGAAGCAGTTTTTTCTCTTTTTAACCATGAGCGCATGTTTGTCTATTAATCTCCTTTTGACACATTGTTATTTATGCAAATATACAACTACTGTTAAACGTAGAACAATAGACAAACATGCACTGACTATGTATAAAGTCAGTAAAAAAGTGGGCGTCCTCATTATCGAACGGAGATTCAAGAAATTGTGATGACCCCTGCCTTTGAAAACAGATTTGAACTTCGTAAATACACACTTCTATTAAACGTAATTACATGTACATAAAGTTGTAGATTGGATGTTGACAATTATTGCAATGAAAAGAAAAATGTTTGTTTTAAAAGTTTATTTTGTTGAAAATTTCGCATTTCCTTAAGTGCAGTCATCCTTTGGTTTCAAAATTATCCATTGTGTTTAGATGAAATAAGACATTTTTAATATCAGTGCTTCTACAGAAAGGTTTGACAAATGCATTCCACACAGTTCATAATCTTATAAATAAATAAATAAATAAATAAAAATAGCCAAGTAAAGAAAATGGAGAGGCATGATGCAACTAGGGCCCAAAACGTGCAGTACCCGCAATTGAAGGAACGTCATAAGTTTCTAACAGATATTCCTCATTGAACCTCAACGGTTTATTTTATTAGGGATATCGAATCTACCATGCCATACATGTTGAAATAATAACTGATAATTAAGAAAGAATACATCATAAAGGCTGTGTTTTTCCTGGCTAAATGATGCGCAAGAGTATATTCGTTTGCAAATAAATAAGTAAATGAATAAAATAAACTGGCCAAGATCGGGATGATTTGTACTTTTCATCTTGAGATTAAAAACCAGATTTTTACTATTGTATTTTTTTTTCTTCAAATTATCAACAAACCATGCGGGAAATGCATAAACTTTGATAAAGTTTTGTCGTCATCATCGAAAGGTGTACGTTCAATATGTAAATTTAAAATAAACGTACAGAATGTGAAATTTAAAGTTTGTTTCAATCATTGCTGAGATTGTAGCAGGACTTGTTTGTACATGTAATTCATAATTGAAGCTTTTCAGATTAACTGCCAAATATTGTTGTTATTCTGATAATTTAATTTAGACTTGATTCAAATGCACAATTAAAGTTATTTCGAAACATTTCAAAATGTTTGAATTTATATACATCTACATATAAATAAATTTTCTGCAAACTTTCTAATCAGACCAATCAAACTAGGAATTTCAACACTATCCGTCGATTAAAATTTATTTATATTTCACATTTTTAGATGATTTGTTACAACTTGATCTTTTTCAATTTTTTATACCGGTCCCTACGAAAAGTCTGCATTTAAAATCTGAAATTTCAGCACACTCTTTTTTTGGGGGCATACTATATGGTGGGATTCATTTTTTTTTTATCGAATCCGATGTCAACTTCCTGTTTATCTATGCGTCTGTCCGTACCAAAGGATGACTGCACTTAACGCCTGTTTTGGGGTCTTTTTCGGTCGCTTCTGTTGCTTTTATATCTAAACCTTATTTCACTTTTGTATGTTTATGAAAGAATCCTGTCAATTTGGAACCAAATTTAAATCTTAAAATGATTTTAGATTGTGATACAATAAAAATATTCAAGGTTTTTTCCTTACTGCTTTCCAAATATAGTGAATTTACACTTACCTGCCCTTGATTGACATTAGATATGCATGAGAGGTGGAGCTAACATTGTAAGAATGGGTCTAAAATTAGACTTGATAAATAACAATGACATGTTTTGAAAAAAGGAACGTGATCACTTTTTCCAATCTCTCTCTCCATTCTGTATGGAACAAAGACACTTCTGACAAAGGTTTCAAAACGAAATTAACAATATGATAACGTCAAAGTAATTAAAGCAGATTTTATATCAATGCCAGATGACTTAACGTGTTCGAACACAATGTCCTAGTTAGCACAAAACATGCTACCTTACAAGTCACTTGACGGAATTTAGTATCCACAAAGTTACCTGAGGTAAGAAATCACGTGGTGAATTATAATATTCAACAAGTCACAACCCTTTGTTACAACACAGAGAGCGAATGTAAGAAGAAGCAGTTTTTTCTCTTTTTAACCATGAGCGCATGTTTGTCTATTAATCTCCTTTAGACACATTATTATTTATGCAAATATACAGCTACTGTTAAACGTAGAACAATAGACAAACATGCACTGACTATGTATAAAGTCAGTAAAAAAGTGGGCGTCCTCATTATCGAACGGAGATTCAAGAAATTGTGATGACCCCTGCCTTTGAAAACAGATTCGAACTTCGTAAATACACACTTTTATTAAACGTAATTACATAAAGTTGTAGATTGGATGTTGAACATTCTTGTAATGAAAAGAAAAATGCTTGTTTTGAAAGTTTATTTTGTCGCAAATTTCGCATGTCCTTAAGTGCAGTCATCCTTTCCGTCATAGTTTACTCAGCAACTACTAATGGCAGATGCTTGAAATTGTAGCACACTTTTTGTATAGGCGTGCCATATGGTGGTATTCATGAGAGCGTATATTGCAGGCCCGTAGGAAGCAATTTCACTATGAGGGGGCACAACCATACATTTTCAGTTGGGGGGCGCACCATGAACTACCAAAATTCCTTGACAAGAAAAAAAGGGCATCAGGCATTATTATTGAGGGGGCACAAGCATATAGCAGCTATGTTTTCTATATATCAGCAAAATTATTGGGGGCACGCCCCCCCCTCCCGGTTCCTACGGCCATGTATTCACATCAGAGCAAGGGTATTACTAGTGTACATTGGCTCACAGTTCATTTTTTCACTTCTGGATTACAGAAGAATTAATAGATGGTTTTCATATTGCCCCTTAACCGTTTAATGCGAGACTTCAATGTCCACCACCTAAAGAATTTTTTACAGCTTAAAACTTTTGGACCTCCTTTCAAGCATCATCTTGATTCAGACAGTGGAGGTGTTAACAGAATCAAATTTTACACTCAAGCCGGGAATCTGTGATTTTTAAATTTGTTTTAATTATCTCCACTGGGATGAGGCATAAGCCTTCATTTTAGCAAATTTAAAAACGTTATTCAACAATATCTGAATAGAAATAGCCCAAAATTTTCAAAATATAGTTGCCAAACAGTCCTAAATAGTTTAACTACGTCGCCCGCGTGGCGCAGTGGTAAGAGCGTCTGCTCTAGAGTAAAAAAAGTGATCTTTACGTTACGGGTTTGAATCCCACTGCGGGATGTTGAGACTGATCCTTCAGTTGAGACCGTATAAACCGAGGTACTGTGTCGCAGGAACTGGAAGTTGACATCCCTTACTGCTCAAAGGCCCTAAGTGCCGGGTAAAAATCTTAGGTCTAAATTTGCAGCCCTCCACCGGGAAGTGGTGGCGTCTCCATATGGGTGAAAAATTCTCGAGAGGGACGTTAAACAGCAAACAAACATAATACTAGACTAGTACTTAAAAAGTGTAGTTAAGAATAAATTTTAAGTTCCAGCAACAGTTGATAAGCATCTTTCAAATGATCAAAATTTTGACACTGTCAAGTTTAAGCTTAGTTATAATACCATGGACTGGAAAAGAGCAGTAAAAATTTGAGATTTATGAAACAATAATCTATTATTACCTTCACGTTGTACCGTCACGGTAGCTCAGTCGGTAGAGCGCTCGCTCCGTGATCGGAAGGTCGTGTGTTCGAATCACGGCCGCGACTGACCTAAGTCGATAAAAAATAGGAAGCAATTGTTCCTTCGCCAGGCGCTCGGCACTTTGAAGTGAAAGTTGCGGGTCCTGCGGATGAGACCTTAAAAACCGAGGCCCGATAAAGAACCCTCACTGCTCAATGGCCCTGAGTGCCGAGTAAAGGTCTAAATTTGAAGCCCTTCACCGGTATATGGTGACGTCTCTATAAGTGAAAAATTCTCGAATGGGACGTAAAACAACACAAAATCAATCAACAACCTTCACGTTGTTAAAGAAAAGATACAGAAAACCGTGTTTTGGATATATTTATTTTACACAATCTTAATCAAATGTAAAACAAGAAAACTGAATATATCATTTATAATTATAAACTCTATGAGATTTTTTTTTTGCACAAACCACACTTATACTCTTGGTGCAGCACAAAAGCAAAGTCCTCAACATCGTGCGAACATAAAGTGGAAGATAGGTATGTGGTACTTTTATTCAATGCTTTCAGAGAAAATACATGTATAGACAAAGAAATAAGGTTCGGATAATTGATTTTTTTTTTACCGTAGCATGGGTTTCGTAGTAAAATTAAGCAATTCCCTTCCCTTTTATTAAGGATTAGTCCTCATAGTGTTCGTACAAGTTTAAAAGAGTTACCTTTTTAATCGAAGTTTGCTCTTCGATTGAACGCGTAGGGTTTTTAGACAAAGTGCTCTGTGTTTATGGACGTACAGCTGTATAACACATAAATCATGATCAATTTATGGAAGTAAACGCTATTTATTGAAATAAATAATATCCGTCATTACAGAACCGACAACGTTATTCTTGACATGATACACGATTGGATTAGGATACAAGCACGTATATACATGTATAACAAACTAGGATGTTATTCGGTTTACTGTCAACCTGTTTTGATGCACTGGTTGCTGCATCAAGAAAAACAATTTGAATTATCATGGTACAATGCATGTTATAACCAGTAGACATCATGAAATGTCCTGTTGCATAAAAAATGTAAAAAAAAAAAAAAAAAAAAAAAGTAGACATCATGACATGTTTCTGGTGCGTTGTATGTTGCATCCAGTAGACACATGATTTAATGTTATCCTGGTTCATAGCACACTGCAGTCAGTAGACATCATGAAAAATCTGCATAAAATAGACCTCAGGAAGAGGCCTTGTTTCATATATAGCATATTGCAACCAGTAGACATAATACACCTATTCTTACTAGTTTATTGTTAATGGATTGTCATAATGATAAAATATTCATTGGATTAAGTATTAGTATTATACAACAAATATGGAATCTTGGTCAATGACATGAAGTACAAATGTCTGCTATGTCAGTGAGTGGAATGATCTGGAACATCCTCCAGGGAAGGGACATAATTTATCCTCTCAATCAAACCTTCTTTGTAAAATCCCTCTAGAGCCTTTAAGCGAAAGAAATTCTGAAGAACTTTGATAGTCTTCGTTCCGAGATTGCGTTCCTCCGTCTCAACTCTTCTCGTGGTCCAGGTTTTGAGGCCCCACCATGCTGAGTGCTTTTTTTCGGTGACTATGACTTTTGGTGCAATTTTGAAATCCATTTTGTACATAACGTACATGCAGTCTACGTACATTCCATCTGGGGATCGACCAAATGCCACCATTCCGTAGCGAGCACCGGAGTTGTCGCCTTTGTTGAACTTCCATTCAACTATCTTGTACTCCCAGGATTCCTTAGCATACAGGATACCTTCCATTTTCAGTCTTACGTCGTCATCAATGCCTATAGCATAGAGTATTTTCATTGGTGGAATTATAACAAAATATAACAACAAATATAAACTAGAAAGTCTGCTATTGCTAGCAATAGCTTGTGTCACCCCGAAATAAACCATAAGCTGCAAGATTCTTCAATACTGAAAGAAGTGATTTTCGTAGAAAAAGTGCCCCCTCTCCACCTCCTTTCAAAAACAAACGAAAGACGTTACCCTCGCTTGCTTTGGTCGAACATAGTTACGGGAAGTGTATTACTCTAGTAGCGTCCCCGTTAACTACATAAATGAAAATAAAATGTTTAAGAAACGTTGGTCCTACTTTTTTTTGGAAATGATATTTAATTTCTTCTTAATCATATCATGAAACTGATAATATAGAAAAAAAACTTCATAGACGGACCTTTATGCATCCTAGGATTATTACAGAAAAAGAAATTAGGAGGACAAAGAAATTGAATAAATCACAATTTTAAACAAGAGGCCCATGGGCCACAACGCTCACCTGAGTTACTTTGACCCTGTTGTTCTTCACCCCCTCCCTTGTAATACTTATTGCGGCCCCGCTCTACGCCTGATGGCCATGATTTGAACAATTTAGAATCTACACTATATACCCCAGGATGCTTCCACGTAAGTTTCAGCTTTTCTGGCCTCGTGGTTCTTGGGTAGAAGACTTTCAAAGATTTTGCCCCGGAGACCATGATTTAAACAATTTAGAATTTAGAATCTACACTACCCTAGGATGCTTCCACATAAGTTTCAGCTTTTCTGGCTCTGTGGTTCTTGAGAAGAAGATTTTTTAATGACTCCACCCTATTTTTGTCTTTTAATGATTATCTCCCCTTGTAAGGGGGGTTGGCCCTTCATTTTAACAATTAAACCTCCTCTTCACCCAAGGATGCTCTGTAACAACTTTGGTTAAAATTGGCTAAGTGGTTCCTGAGAAGAAGTTAATAATGTGAAAAGTTTACAGACTGACGGACGACGGACAACAGGTGATCAGAAAAACTTACTTGAGCTTTTGAACAGCTTGGGTGAGCTAAAAAGATGAAACATAAACGTTTATACAACGTTTTTTGGCCACTCGTTTCAGGAATCTGCACTGAAATTATTTTTTTTCTATTCTAATGACAACGTTGGAGAAAATTTTAAATGAGATTAACCAAACTACGAATAGTGATTATTATTTCTGTGGAAAGTTTCAATAACATTGTCAAAGCCTTCTAGAAGAACATTCAAGGACAAAACCATGTGCGGAAACATCGCGAAGTAAATGACTCGACTGCATCTTTTTTAAATTATTCGTTCTTTTTGTCGATTCTGTTCCATTATTTTGCAGGAATCACTTTTATAGGATGCGACTAACAACTCAATGAAGTTACAAGACAGCTTTTTATGAAAAACTACGGAAAAAACGAAATTTAAAAAAAATAAGACTCTGTGTCTGTTGTCATGACAACAGTGAAAAATTTGAAAATTTAAAGTGCTTTGGCACAACTAAATGTGGTGATTATCATTTCCATAATGTATCAGTAAGTTTGTCCAGGCCATTTTCGAGAAACTTGCAGGACGGAGTTACTAGCAATTTAACCCCAAACTGGTCACGTGACATTAACTTTTCTTCGTTTTTGTCCATCCTTTTTATTTGCCTAATTTTTTTTTTTTTTTTTTTTGACAGGAGGCAAGGAATACTTCTCTACAGTTTCAAAAATATTTGACTCAAAGCAGCGGAGAAATATGAAATTAAAAAATTCCACTTTTTACCAGTTTCCATGGCGACAGTGGCCATTTTGATTTTAAAGAAAGATTCCACATCTTTAATTAGTGATCATTATGATAGCGGAGTTTCATCAAGATTGACAGAGCCATATTTGAGAAATTATACGGACAGCGTTATTGGTCGAACAATAGCAATATGTTGTCCGGGGTGACATAAAATCTTTCCTACATTGTGTGGTTTTTAAAATTGTTCTTCTGAATTGGCATGAAGTTATAAACATTACTTTTTCAACTTGAGCTAAATGTACATGTGTGTCTAATTTTACATCTAAAAAACTTGGCAAAAAACATATATGAATCCCATCATATTCCTATTTTATATTGATTATGAACCCTAGTCCCAACACAGGCATCTGAAGAATGGATGGAGCAACAACCTCATTCCCCAACCCCGGCTCCATTGTCTGAGATTTTTTTTAAAACCCCATGATTTATAATAAAAACAACCAAAAATAAAGCATATTATTCTTAAATTCCGATATCATTTTCTATAAGACCGCGGAACATTAACTAGCAAAATTGGAAATATGCAGCTTACGTCATTTCCATCTGTTACATTGATTGATTGATTGTATGTTGTTTTATGTCCCATTTGAGAATTTTTCACTCATATAGAGACGTCACCGTATGCTGGTGAAGGGCTTCAAATTTAGACCTATACTAGGCACTCAGGGAAATTGAGCAGTGAGGGTTCTTTATCGTGCCAAAGCCTACCGTGACACAGGACCTCGGTTTTTAAGGTTTCATCCGAAAGACCCGTGACTTTCACTTCTAGTGCCGGGCGCTTGGCGAAGGAACAGTCACTACCTATGTTTACGTCTTAGGTTTGACACGGCGCCCTGAACGAGAATCGAACCCGGGCCTCCCGATCACAAAGCGAGCGCCCTACCACTGATCGGTCATTGAGCAGTGAGGGATCTTTATCGTACCAACGCTTGCCGTGACACGGGGCCTCGGTTTTTAAGGTCTCATCCGAAGGACCGCAACTTTCACTTCAAATTGCCGAGCGCATGGCGAAGGAACAGTTGCTACCCATTTTTTATCGACTTAGGTCAGTCGCGGCCGAGATTCGAACTCACGACCTCCCGATCATGAAGCGAGAACTCTACAAACTGAGCTACCGTGAACGGTTCTATCTGTTACAGTCATAACATTTAATGATAGACAATGAATTGGGCGGGTACAATAGAACACGGACGTCCGTGAAAACATTGGATTGAAATTTTAGTTTGAAATGCATTGTCAATCCACGTGAGCTGTTTTCAAACGCAAAGTGTGAATGTGTGATCCAAAAGACAAATAATTTCAATTCCCAAATAATGTTGTTTAAAATTCATATTTATAGGAGTTTTTAGCCTGTAATTTTTAGGACACGTAGAAGTCATAGAAGGCAGAGATCATTTTTTTTTCAGGGGACGGCCATTTGATTTTATAGAAAGATGGGGGGGGGGGTCAAAAATTGTCGAGTCAGATCATGCCTTCACATGACAAAATATATTTATTTCTAGGATGACAAGAGCTATTTTCTTCTGTTCTGTCCATTGAAAAATGTTTGACAATCAGAAACAGGGAGGGGTTGTCCGAACTAAAACATCTTTCTTTTTTATTCCCAAGATCGTTCAGCCCCCTCCACACCCCCCCCCCCTCCCCAACACACGCATGCACATACCTAACAGAAATCAAACATTAGTCCCTTTATTTTTCTTTTAAAACACTGGACAGAAATTCTGATTTATATTAATTTCCAACTATTCCGAAGTTGAAATTTATTATTTGTCTTCTAGGTCAATCAATAACACCGTGTCTTCTAGCGTAGCTGAGGTGGATTGAAAATAAATTTCAAACTAGAATTTCAATCCAATGTTTTCTCGGACGTCCGTGCCAAACTGTACCTGCCCATTCCATTGTCTATCATTAAATGTTTTGATTGTAACAGATGGAAATGACGTAAGCTGCAAATTTCCAATTTTGCCAGTTAATGTCCCGCGGTCTTATAAGTTAAATTGTAAAGTGTGTCCATCTGTTATACAAACATATTTTTATTTAAAACAAAAGGTAAGGAAACCGATGAAGGCAAAAGTTTGGGGGAGGGGGTTTACAAAGAACACAAATGGAAAAACTAGAGGATACAAATGGAACATTATACATTTATTGACTGGATTCCAGGGCAACATTCATTTTGTCAGACCCATGAACCAAACTATTTGCCTGAGGCGATTAGGTCGAAGGCAAACAGTTTGGTTCGAGGGGTCGACAAAACGCATTTTGCCCGAGAACACAGTCAATAAAAGTTTTGTTATACCTTTTATTTATTTATTTTTATTTCCCCGTAATCGAAGATTAAGGGATATATAGTTTTTGCCCTGTCTGTCTGTCTATTTGTCCGCAAAAACTTTTACCTTGCACATAAATTTTGATTGGTTGGAGCTATGGCTTTCATATTTCAGAAGTATATTCCTTGTGAAAAGACTTTTTCACTGGGATACATTTTTTGACCTTTTGACCTTGACCTTAGAGTTTGACCCACTTTTTAAAAACTTTAACCTTGGCCTTAACTTTGAACAGATAGTACTAGGGCTTTCATATTTCACAGGTGTATTCCTTGTGACAATCCTTTGGATACCAATAATTTTGACCTTTTGATCTTGACCTTGGAGTTTGGCCTTTTAGAAAACTTTAATCTTTGCCACAACTTTTGAACGTCCTTCCCCTGGGTACCATTAATTTTAACCTTTTGACCTTGACCTAGCATTTTGACCCACTTTAAAAAACTTCAACCTTAGGCATAACTTCTGAATGGTTGTTGTTTGGGCTTTCATATTTCACAAGTATATTCATTGACACAAGTCTTTTCTTACAGTAACAACATGTTTGATCTTTTGACCTTGACCTTGGAGTTTGACTTGCATTTGAGAAACTCTAATCTTCGCCATAAGTTGCCATACGGGGGAAATCAGTATTTCACAAACACATCTTGTTTTACAGGCTTCCATGATGAAAATTTTTCTTTACCCGCACTGCGAAAAAAGGTGAATTCACCTAAGATTTAGATAATCCCGCCCACAGAGTGACGTCATCGGTCCAATATCTCATCGACAGGTCCAATCTCTCATTCTGCGGTCAAACATCGAATTTTTTATGACCGCTCAGTAAAACATTGGAAATCTTAGACTTTTTTAAGAATAGATTTATAAAAGAACCATTTTTAAAGGTATAACAATACACAATACAAATGGAAAATTATAGAATAAAAAATATACAATACAAATAGAAAACAAGAGGTGTTTGTGAAACACTGATGCCCCCGTATGGCAACTTATATCAAAGGTTAAACTTTCTCAAAGGCAAATCAAATGTGTTGGTACCAAAAATAAGGTCTTGTCCCGAGAAATATACCTGTGAAATATGAAAGCCCTAGCAGCAACCATTGAACACAGGTGCTTGTGGACAGGACCCCCCCCCCCTCCCCCAGAATATATACCCTGGGACCAAGGATATTTTTATTCGTCTTTTTCCATAAATTAATCTTCTAGTACTCATTTACAATGTATTCCCTATGAAAATTCCAAAAAATAACGTTTTATTAAAAAATCATACCCGCGGTATCATAAAATAGAGAAGGTAAGTCACTTCCATTTGTTAACAGTGGACCCCTCTTAGATATCGGGCCTAAAATATCATATACCTACTACATGTCACCAAAATATGCCATTATATCTTGTTTCGGTAGATATTTTTGTCATTAATCGAGCTATTTAATTGCCCAGGCATTCCACAATAATACGATTATTCGTCGTCAAAAGTGAAAAATGCTACGAGATCTGGAAATGTCAAAGTAGAAATTACGGAAGTGATGCAAAAACGACACCCGAGTTCCGAGTGTTACAAAATTAACGGAAAATCCAGAGGGCTACGAAAAAGTTCGGGAAAATTTTGATAAAGAAGTCGAAATCGATTCATTACAATTTAATTTTGCTGCAGATTTTCAAGATGCCTGAAAAGAAGTAGGGGAGGGGGGTTAGGAGCAGCCTCTCCCCAGTACTACATGTACGTGCCTGCTGTTAGCAGCCGACGTCTCTATCACTGCAGACCAACTAAAAAAGACAGCTATGTATTTGAATGTACTGTCTATGACTTTAAAGTTACTGATGCAAATCTTCATAAGGCCCCATGTGTGTACGAGATTGGCCCCTCGTCTGTTTATGGATGAATAATACAGTTGTTACATCAAAATTTTAAACTTTATCAAGTTTATGTTTTTCAATTACGTCATTTTAAAATGTAATCATGTAATTATCTATATCACAAATGAAAATCTGCTCAGGTACAAGAAAGCATAAAGGAAATTCCTGTGCGACACAGGCCTGCTATCACTTGTTAGAATTCAAACGCGGCGTTGATTATTTTTCACTCTGACAACTTGTCCACGATTTTACCGGACAACACTTATGAATCTCTATATACTACGCGCATTGACTACAACTAAAACGTTGAATAAGAAACGAATTACAAGTACTATAGCATTTAGCCTAAAGTCATCGATCTGAACGTAAAACGATAAGCTTTTTGTAAACTTTAAGACTAAAACCAAACTCAGTCATATATATTGGTTTGATTTCCTGAAATCATTCTTTGATCCCTTATTCCAGCCCAACCCTAAGATAAGTTAATTAAAACTTGAACAAACTTGAATACACTTAATTTGAACTTCCTAAGGCTGCGTGCATAATAATATGAATAATCATGGTCCTTTTTACTTGGGAAAAAAATTCAAAGATATTTCAAATAATTTTATATTTTTAAGTAAAACTTTCATTTGTTGTAGCTCCACCTCATCCCGAGGAATCGGTTTTAAACTTACTTGAATAAAGGTTATGTGGAAGCTTTCTCAAAAGTTTCATCTTTTTGATCCAATGTTTCTTGAGATTTTTTTTAAAAAAATGCATTGCCACCAATTTTTCACCAGTTTAAATTATCTCTCCTTGAAAGAGGGTGTGTTTTTTTTCATTTGAACAAAGAGGGTGTTGCAGTTCTTTTGTTATTTTCCATAAAGTTGTAGTAGTTTAAAAGAAAAATTTTAAGTAACAGAAAACGGTCTTCATTTTTTTTCAGATACAGCGGTATATACAGAACAATGTAGAACAATATTTAGAAACTGCATATCGACTACCAATTTGCCATTAAATGAAGTGTAAATTAGCCACATAGCAAAATAAGTCAAGTTTTCTGTTTTTCAAAAAGGAATCCCCATTGTTCTGAAAAATTGCCTCCTTGAAACAGAATGAATTTGATATACGCACAAAGAGACAGAATTTTTCTTCAAAACTGCCATTTCCGATTTTGTTTCAAAGAGGCATATTTTTGAAAATCACAAAAATAGAATAAAAATCATTATCCATCCGAGGTGGAAAATGTGCACATAAAATAGCACAACTTCTTCAGTGTCGAAGCTGGTCTAGTGGTAAAATGTTGGACTCATTGCGAAGATTCTTTAACCTGAGGATGGGTTCGAATCCTGGAATGGCTGGTATATACATTTTTTTTTTCTTAAATAATGAAAGTACAATGTAAGATCTCTCTTGAGAGAGAGAGAGAGAGAGAGAGAGAGAGAGAGAGAGAGAGAGAGAGAGAATGTCAGAAAGTTAATGGGTAATATTTTAAATGCATGCAGAATTAAATTGTTTTCCTTGATATTGTGATCTAAAACTAATAAGACATTTAGTGGCGATTTTTAAAAAAAAAAAAAAAAGTACTATCATTTTGAATAATTTAATTTTTTCATACTCATTTCGTTTCATTGTTGCTCTGTTAATTAGTGGCTCAGATTTGACTTGAAAAAACTAAATTGAAATGACTCATTGGACTTTTTTGGATATTGCATCGACAGCGTGATTGTTGAACACATTTATATATATTGAAAAAATATTAACGCACGCTGTCTACAGTACATCTTTCAAAATTATGTGCAAGATGCACTTGCAATTAATTGTGCTTTTTATCGTTCTAACTTTTCTCACGGAATACTGCCACAGTGACCATAGATGTGAGAAAAAGTTTACTACATCTGTATCAGGTCGCCAGTCTATAGGATAGGCTAATATTTATTTAAAGTCGGATAAATCAAGAAGATAGGAAAAACTATTCATGAAATAAACGTAAAATGTGAAATGTTTTGTTATAACAAGCTGGACATACCCGCCGTATAAATAAAGTCATCTACGTAGCATTATCTATATTTAGAGACAACTCTTCATGCGTCGTTGGTATTTAAGGACAGAAGATACGTTCCTCAAAAATATATAATTTTTTCTAAGATTTTGTCATTGAAGTATTGCTACTTTAACATGTTTACTCGCAGAAAATTGAGGTACCTTACCAGGCATTTGTGCAAGATAGCAGAGGATGTTTTTCCTACAAAATCCTTTTGGAAAAAAACTTAAATAGCCAATAACACATTTTTTTGGTGTTTCATCTTTTAAAAGACAAACAGAAACCAGTTTAGAAATCAGAAGGTAATCAAAATTTTGAATATTTTCTACATAATTCGAAGGTATACAAAATAGATATTTGCGGAACGTATCGTCTGACCTTAAATGTCCTTCTCGATTTAGGAAATAATCGCGAGTTTCTGCAACACCGTCTTTGAAACCCTTCGCCCTAGGATCCTTTTTCAAGTTTGAAATTGGCTCAGTGGTTTTAAAAGTGGAAAATGTGAAAAGTTTGCAAACGACAGATGGACGCCGGACACCAGTTGATCAGAAAAGCTCCTCTGAGCCTTTGCATCAGGTGATGCCGCTTATTTAGAAAGTAATTAAAATAATCAATGCTAATTTCAGTGTAATATCTAAAATACCTTCATACGCCCTCTGCAAGTGGTTAAGGTAAGCAACGATGTTGTCAAATGGGATTTTGACTGCTTTCATCACCTCACATCCTTCATGCCATTTGTCAAACAACTCTCCTTCCAGATCTCTTTCCAGCTTTGTGGCGTCATATTTCGACACCTACCAATAGCAGATTGTTTATATATATATATATATATATATATATATATAAAGCACATTTTACAACAACTCTTAAACTAACATAACTGCCCTAAGAGAAGAAATATTAATATAGAAAGCACAAAGAAATTCACTTTTTTATAAGGATACCCACTTCCGCCCCAGCCCGGGGTTGAACTCTCGACCTACGGAATCTGTCTCCTAGCAGTACAGGAACAGCGCGCTAGACCGCTCGGCTATCTAGGCAAGTCAAAAAACTTGCTTTCGCTGCCGGTGAAATTCTCGCGGCGCTGTCCTACACTACACGGTCATTGAGAATGGAAGTGATATATATATATATATATATATATATATATATATATATATATATATATATATATATATATATATATATATATAGTGTATTTATGAATTAGATCATGTAAAAGCCTGTGATAATTATAGAATTGTATATTTATTACTAATACTGTCATTTTGTAAATTCTGAATCTACCGGATGGCAGTACATACAAATTTACAACATGACAACTAACTTGTGAATGATGTATTCATTAACACTCGGTAAAATATAAATATGCCGATATAAAGCATTCCTTTGAAATTTATGAGAGCTGTGAGAAGCTTTAAGATTTCGATATTTTTTCGATAAAAAAGTTTTGAAGATGTTTCTTGGTAACAAAGGGAAAAACGTAGAAAAGATGTTGTTACCGAATGATATTGCCTTTAAATCTATAAATACATCGGAAATGATATTTATTTGTGTTTTAAGGAAATCGGTTAGAAAGGATCTTTTATTTTACTGACCATCATAAGAAACCAAGAATACCACAAAATAGTGAAAAAAAAACTTTTTTTTCTTAGATACATATTTTTTCAAAATGTTTTATTTACTTGAATTGAATCTTTGGGTATTCACAAATTTAAAACAAAAACAGGTTGGCAGTAGTAAATCAACAAAAACCGTTTTCTTCTGTTGTTCAAAATAGATTTCTCGTTCGTATCTGGTATCGAGTGCAAACGCTCTCTTTAAAATGGTTTTTGGAAGAACCAGGAACACATTTCAAAAAGAAAATCAGAAAACATCCTTGCCGTTTCCGATGAACTGTTTAATACAGCTTAAATTGGCACCCCCTTCCATAAATGAACACACGCTACACGTAGATCTTGGTATGTTCAGAGCAGAATACAGTGATAGTTGCGGCAGACTCGTTTCATTGCCACAACAGCACTACTGTACGCCCTATGTTAAGGTTTTTAGCCACAAATAGTGCATCTGATCATCGTACGACAGATGCTCCAAGGATCACTTGGAACGACGCTTCTACGTGACAGGTTAAAAACTGCCGAATCAACAAATGGAGAAACCCTCTGGAAGATATTTATAATCCAAGGTTCGAGTCCTCAATAGCACTAGCAATGTTTAGCACGGTCTCTGACGTCACACTACACATTTTTACCATTTTTATTTTACATTTTACGAGTATTTTAAATTTTAAGAATAAGAAACTCTGATTCTCAAAAATAATCCACTGTTGTTAATTTATGCTTCGATATTTCTCCGATTACTTCTACAAATAAAATATTTTAATCTAATCCGAAGGTTCGTTTTTTTTAATGATGGTCATTTTACATAACACTACGCGTATCCGAAGAACTGTTCAAATTAGTATTGAAGAAAAAAGGATTAGAAGTATATCTTTATATCTATAGTAATTTTTTGCGTCGCAAATGGAACGTCCGATATATGTAATTTTTTTTACGAAAAAGATTCAGTTGAATCAACAGGCAACCGTCTGAATATCTTCGCTCAGAGTTCATATGTGCATTTGACTCTGGTGAGTTTACAAAAACAAAAAAAAAAAAAAACCAAACAAACAAACAAAACAAAACGAGCAAATTCAAAGAATTGTGGTCCCCCGCTTTCGGTGTCTTAGGGGATGTCATTATTTATGGCATATTGTAACTGTCCTGTTTGTGTGTCCTGTCTTGTTTGTACATCAATATCTAAATTATCGAATTAATAACAGTTATGGCAAAGATTGTATCTTCTCAAAACTACATCAAACTTCAACATCAAGGTCATGAGGTCAAATATCATAATACAATCCGAAAGGTCTTGTCAGAAAGGTCTTGTCATAATTAATGCACATGTGAAAAAAATATCAAAAACCAGAATGTACAATCGGAAAGTCTTGAAACAGGCTATGCACATGTTAAATATAAATGTCGTATCTTCTCTCAATCAAAAGTTATCAGCAATGTTAATATTTTTCAAAATTAGGTTGAACATGAAGGTCAGGGTCATGGGTTAAAAATCATAGTACATTTGGAGATGCTTGTCACAGGTAATAAACGTGTCAAATATGAATGCTCTATCTTCGCGCCAACTGATAACATGTTTGAAAATTAGGTCAATCTTGAAGGTCAAGGTCAAGGAGTCAAATATCATAGCACATTCGAAAGCATTTTGACACAGGTAATGCACTTGTCATATATGAACACCCTATCATACGACATTCAAAAGTAATCACCAAATTTAAAATTTTTGAAAATTAGATCAAACAAAAAGATCAAGGTCAAGGGGTTTAAAATCATTTCATGCTCGGAAAAATCTTGTCACATGCAATGCACGCGTCAAATATGAAAGTCCTATCTTTTCTCAATCAAACGTTAAAAGCAAAGATAAAATTTTTGAAAAGTAGGGTCATGGGTCAAAAACCAATATATACTTGGAAAGGACTTGCCACAGAAGATGTATATGTAATATGTAAACCCTATCTTTTCTCATTTAAATATTATGACCAATTTAAAGTAGTGTAAAATATTTGTAAAGTAGGTCATACTTCAAGGTCAAGGTCGAGGGATCAAAAATCATAGTATATTTAGAAAGGTCTTGTCATGGGTGATGCACATATCAAATATGAGAGCCCTACCTCTTTTCAATCAAAAAGTTATAACCAGAGATAAATTTTTTGAAAGTTGGTCAAACTTCAAGGTCAAGGTCACGGGGTCAAAAATCATAGTCTATTTGGAAATGTTTTGTCACAGGTAATATACGTGTATACATGTTTAATATGAAAGCCCTATTTCTTCTCATTCCAAAGTTATGACCTATTTAAAGTAATGTTAAATTTTTTGAAAAGTAGGTCAAACTTCAAGGTCAAGGTCACGGGGTAAAAAATTATAGTATATTTTGAAAGGTCTTGCCATATGTAATATACATGTGAAATATGAAAGCCCTATCTCTTCTAATTCAAAAGTTTTGACCAAGGTTAAAATTTTTGTGACAGACGAACAGACTGACAGACAGACGAATGAGATTTAATGTCCCCTCGCTTTCGCGAAAGCGGGGGATAAAATGTGCATGCAAAAAAACATCAATCTATTGGCACTTTAAAATATTGCCGCAGCACAAATAGGCATGACTAACCCAGAAAAGGGAAAACGATTTATTAGGCAAAGAAAGCGTTTCAAATATCACCTTTACGTTATGCAGTCCTTTTTTAACTGCCTCCATTGCGGTGTTGATTTCTTCAGCGACCACCCCAATCTGCCGAACAGCCGATGCTATAACTGTCGCCATTTTTACTGTTCAATAAAGTAAAAGTACGTGAATTTAATTTTATGTCGACAAGACTAAACAAAATACAATCCGTTCAACAATTTATTAAAGAAGCGAATCAAAGCAAGCAATGCTTGCCTCAACAATCTGAAATGCTGAAGGACACACACACACACACACACACACACACACACACACAATGATGTCCGACTTACCAGACAGAAATATGTTACAAACTCAAAGATCCTTGCATCGACTTTATATTAAAAGAATCGTCTAAATTAAAAATAGAAATCCACTAATAGCTTTTTAGCCATTGTGGGGTGTTTTATGAAGTTGGGATTTCCTCGCAATATTATCTTTATTTAATATTAGAATGTGAAAAACGGTTTAACCTTGAATTTTGTTCCCCAAGAAAAAGAAAGTAAGTTAAAAATTTTCACAATGAAATATCTAGTCTTCTTAGTCTAAAAATTTCCGTTTACAGCAAATCTAAACTCGGGGTAGAAAATATACTATTCACCACTCAGTATTTATATCTTTTTTTCGTAGTCTGGAAAAAAAATAAACTGTGTATATGCTAAACTGCTATCCACTTTCAGTACAAATATTCACACCATTATAATAAAATGCTGATCCCTGTCAGAGTGGAATGGTTCATTTATCAAACTCGAGACAAGAACCATTTCCCTCGGGTAACAGTTCCTGTAGCGGGCTTGATAAAAGAATTTTCCTACTCATTGTCCGTGGATAAGTATATACTAAACGTTACTATAGTAAATTATATTTAGTACAGTTAACTACGAGGATCATTAAAAAAATTCGTAGACTTTTGTCATAATTTTTTAAAATGTAATTCTGCCTCAGTGGTTCTTGAGAAGAAGATTTTTCATGACCTCACCCTATATTTGTCTTTTTTTTGATTATCTCCCCTTGGGAAAGGGCTTGGTCCTTCATTTTAAGAATATAAACCCCTTTTTCCCAAGGATGCTTTGTACCAACTTCGGTTAAAATTTGCCCAGTGGTTCTTGAGAAGAAGTTGAAAATGTGAAAAGTTTACAGAACAGACGGACGGACGGACAGCTAGACGGACGACGGACAACAGGTGATCAGAAAATCTCACTTGAGCTTTCAGAGACTTTGAATCGGCGATGTACGGTCTGCGAAGAAACAGATGAAATTATAGTTAAAATCTTGTCAAAAGAGTTAGTACATATGAAACGTCATGAAACTTGATGTGCGCTTCACTGTTGCGGAACTAGTGAAAGCAGAGGTAAAGAATTTGAAAACAATGACAATTTCACTTAAGCTGCTCAAACAATTGTTAGCAAACTAGGTGTCAAGTGTTATGGATAATATGTTTTTATAAATAGGTAAGACGTTAAAAACCGTGTATGAAATGAAAAGGCAGAGTAATTTTGAGAAAGTTCCTTGATTCGGTTGTATCAACGGTTTATTAAATTTAATGAGTTATTAATCATCAAATTCAACTTAAAAATTAAAAAGTTTTTGAAAGTTTATACAAAATTTCATAGTATTTTAAAAATAAATAAACGTAACAATTTATATCAAAGTTTTTACTATAATAAACACAAGAATTTACAATTAATAGTATGTCAAAGCTCCACGGTAATCACAGTGTGTATTTTGACATTACACTTTAATTTCGTTAGTGAACTTTAGTTTACTAAACTAAAGTTAACTATTTTGTAAATCAAAGTTTTATAGCATTTGACAAAATGAATAAAAGTATCAATGTTCTATTTATATTCGTAATACTAGTAAATCAAAATCCTACAGTGAAATGTTAATATTCACTAAAGGTACACTAAAGTGAATTATCTACTTGGTTTTTAGAAATAAGGTAATGTAGTAAATGACAAAACCGACTTTCTTTTTTCAGAAACTGAAGGTGTTCTGTAGAAAGATGGGATAAAATCGAAAGACAAAGGTAAATTTTAGAATACCCAAAAAGGCTATTAAATACATGTATTAAGAAAAAATTTGATGCTCTAAAGATTTTTAAAATGCGTTCACAGTATACTTGGTCTTTTATAAAAAATTTTAATTAATTAATTCATTTCTGACTTACCAAATAGAAAGCTATTACAAACTCTTAGTTTTCCTCAAAGATCCTTTGCATCGACAATTAAATCAATCGTAGAAATTGAAAGTAGGAATCTACTCATTAGCCATTTTTAGCATTGTGAAATCAGTTATTTATAGAGTTCAAAAGTCAGATTGGGATTTCAAAATATATTCCTTTTATTAGAATGTGGAAAACACGTGATTTTGTTTATTTCCTAACAAAGAAAATAAAATTACCATAGCAAGCCATACTTTACTAGTAATAAACTATATAAAGAATATTTTGTCGGATGTGTTTGTTTAAACATTATTTTATTCACAAGAGTGAATGGGATTGGTCAGCAGGCTCACCCTGGGCCGACTTGATTTGTCGCAGATCGGCCATATGGTCAAAGACTAAAATAAAAATATGACCGGCGTAAAGCGGCTAATTGACAAATGAAGTAAAACTGTGTCAAACTCCTTAACTAACAGATGAAAGTTTACAAGCAATGGATGATGGTTAACTTTTCGGCATAACCTTCTTTGATTTCAGTAAAGTCTTTTATCTAGCAAATAATGATATATATACATTGATAAAAAAAAAAGCTATATCTTCTACCCCAAAGCAGTGCATTAGTTTGACTTAAAATCCAAGAAACAGTAACCAGCGGGAGTGCCACAATAATCAATTTTAGGTCCACTTCTCTGTTTATTAAAAAATTCAAATATCGGCTTATTTGCCGATCATTTCAGACAATAATGTTCAATGTAACATACGATATTCTCTGTCGCAGTTTATAAAGCATTATTATTATTTTTATCTATATATTTTTTCGAATCAATCAATTAAACTAAAGATTATGAACTAGTACCATGGAGTCATGAAATTTTTGTATAACACAAGATTTAAAAAAATATACTAGCCTGGTTTCCCCGGGCCTCCGTTTAAGACCTCTGACTTGAGACCCAGAGTTTAAATGTCCAAGGCATCTATTGTCGAAACTGAAAGTATATGTAAGAATCGACGTAATATTTGCTATTTTTAACTTTTGAAATTATTTATTTTTAGAGTTTAAATATCTATAATTAGAATTTGGGATTTCAAATGCTCTGATGTTACTTTAATAAGAATGTGGAAAATCCGTGGTTGTGCTAATTTTTAAGTTGTTTAAAATTATAACAAATCGCAAATTTGTCAGTTTTGGAGGTATTCTGCGGAAAGATGGGTACAAGCTCAACTAGAATCGAAAGACACAATGAAGGTAAACGTTTAGACTATCTAAATTAAGAAGATGGATTGCTTAAGAATTAAAGAAATTTAATATTCTAAGTATGTAATTAATCTTTACACAGTATACTTGATCTTTTATCGAGTTTTGGCATTAAAAATATATTCAGATTTCATATTCTAGTAATACCGATTTAACCTAGAAATCAGTTTCGTACCTTCACATTTTCATGTAATAATTCTTATTTAAAGGCTTCCAGGTCGACCCTAGAAGAAGCCCAAACTACTTCCATTCCATACAGAAAGGTGAGCATGGTGTAAATAATGGAACATCTAAGCAACGAATCGATTCCTCCATGTCGACCCTAAAAGTCTGCAGCAAAGAAGCGTTCAGTTTACAGGAGAAACTTCAGAATGAATTCTTCACGAGATGGAAAGAAGATTGCAACGTACAAGAATTTCATGGTTTCGCCATTTCTCAAATGGACAATCTTCTGCACAAAATTAGCGACAAATTCGTCATTAATGGAAAAAACATCTACAGCAAACTTCAAGGAATCAGATTCTGTGAAGAATTCGATGTGAATATTTATGAGTTTACTTTTGGGGAGGAACTTAGTTCGGGGGTAGTTCATTTTGGAATGGTTGCCATTTCCAAAGTTAACAGCGCTTTGGACGCCGTTTCCTGTCTGTATACCTTAAATTTTGAAGTAGCTAAGGTGCTTGTGACCAAAAAGAGAAAAAAGAGATTTCTGGGTATTAACGCAGGAACGGACAGAAAAAGCTGGTATGAACCAAAAAGCCTTGGCTTCGTCACTCAGAGAGCTCTTGTCAACTTTTGTCGTTACAAAGCCTTGACAGAATTTAAGAGGAAAAATTTTGTGTCCAGCATCAACGATGTCCCATCCATAGATGGCATTTAGTCGAACGAGAAAAAAGACGCATCAGCCAGTGTAAATTATGAGAACGATGACAAGACATATACTCATATAATTTTGTGAGATATATACTCATATAGTTTTGTTTGACAATTTCTGTACTGAAGTGGTAATAGAACATATTTAAGAAATAAATTTCATATTCATAAGGTCATAAACTATTGCGCATCAAGCTGGTTTAAGGACATCTAATTAGCTTGCAAGGAATTCGTGTATTTTTGTGTGAGTTCATGAGAAAATGAACTGCATTCTTATCTGCAGAGAATCTCAAATGAAAGAACTATATACGGTAAGGGCGTATTCCTGCCCCCATAATAGTCAAATTTTGAAAATCTCTTGAAATGAGAAAAAGTGCATATATTGTATAAAATAATCCAAATTAAGACAATATATTATGAAATTGGAAAAATTAGTTGGCTTTTCTTGTCTCTGTGACGTCACAAACTATTTGGATTTCCGTTATTTTTAAAATAGAGGCCAAAATGCACAGAGTTTGTTCAATTTTGACTATAGTATTTATAGAGCGCAAGCTTGCTCAGGTACCATATTCACATATTTCGTTGATATTATCATTCTACACATTATATCAAAAGATCTAGTCTGAGCAGACCTGCGCTCGATAATTTCCAATCAAAATACCGACGTAAAATACACTATTTTCTCTCAAAATCGTTGCAATTTGGAATTTACGTCATTTTATTGACGTCATATTTAACTAATGATGTCATAGTTGATAAAAATATTTAATGCTTTGAAGTCTGCAAATATCCACCTGGTTTAGAGTATAATTAAAGATTTCTCCATCAAAGTTTTATTTTGGGGGCAGATACTGGCCACTACAGAATATAGTCCTTTAATATCATTTCCCTAGCTAAAGACTAGTTGATATATGCTTATGAGTCGCCCGGGTGGCGCAGTGGGTTAGAGCGTTCGCTCTAAAGTCGCGGAGTAAGGAGTTGATCCCTACGTCGCGGGTTCGAATCCCACTGGGGGACGTGGAGACCAGTCCTTCGGATGAGACCGTATAAACCGAAGTCCCATGTCACAGTATATGCTGGCACGAAAAAGATCCCTCACTGCTCAATGGCCCTGAGTGCCGAGTATAGGTCAAAATTTGTAGCCCTCCACCATGAAATGGGAGTATAAGTGAAAAATTCTCGAGAGGGACGTTAAACAATAACGAAAACAAAAAAAATATATATGTATATGAACAACCACTGACGCAGGAGCGCTGTGAGACTGTTAACGATCTATTTGTGCTGCTGAATGAAAAACCTTGGGGGAGGGGGGTGTATGTTTGATACATGTATAAGTGAAAATATTGAGCAATTATTACTTAACACACTAACTTAAACTTTTTTATATAATTTTCCACTGTAGAGATTGCAATTGGATACTTAATATTAAATGTAATTTTGAAATGAATGTCAATTTTACGGAAAACAAGATGTGTTTGTGAAACACTGATGCCCCTGTATGGCAACTTATAGCAAAGGTTAAACTTTTTCAAATGCAAATCAAATATGTTGGTAGCAAAAGTAAGGTCTTGCCTCGAGGAATAAACCTGTGAAGTATGAAAGCCCTAGCAGCAACCATTGAATAGATATGGAAAAGGTTAAAGTTTTCTCAAAAGTATGTCAAACATCAAGGTTAAGGTCAAATGTTCAAAATTGATGGTGCCCAAGGAAAGGCCTTCTCCCAAGAAATATACAGGTGAAATATGAAAGCCGAAGCACCAATCGATCAAAAAGTTATGGCAAAGGTTAAAGTTTTCCAAAAGAAGGTCAAAACTCCAAGGTCAAAGGGTCAAAGTTGTTGGTATACAAAGGAAGGTCTTATCACAAGGATTACACATCTGAATAAAGAAAAAACCCTAGCACCAACCGTTCAAAAGTTATAGCCAAGGTTAAAGTTTTTCAAAAGTGGGTCAAACTCCTAGATCAAAGTCAAAAGGTCAAAGTTGTTGGTATCCAAAGGAAGGTCTTGTCACAAGGATTACACATGTGAAGACTGAAAGCCCTAACACCAATTGTTCAAAAGTTATGGCCAAGGTTAAAGTTTGGTAAAATTTTGCAAAATTGGGTCAAACTCCAAGGTCAAGGTCAAAAGGTCAAATATGATTGTACCCAACGAAAGGTCTTGTCACAAGGAATACAAATGTAAAATATGAAAGCCATAGGTCCAACCAATCAAAGGTTATGAGCAAGGTTAAAGTTTTTGCGGACAAACAAAGTGACAGACGGACGGACAGGACAAATATACCCCAGAATCTTTGATACGGGGGCATAAAAAAATCTATTCAATAAAAAAAATGTACAGCAAGATACATGTTATATATATTCTGTTATTTATTTAACGACAGCACGTAGCCTAATTTTTTTCTTCTCAATATTTTTTATGCCCCCGTATCAAAGATTCGGGGATATATAGTTTTTGCCCTGTTCGTCCGTCTGTCTGTTTGTCCGCAAAAACATTAACTTTGCCCATAACTTTTGAACAGTTGGAGCTATGGCTTTCATACATCACATGTGTATTCTTTGTGACAAGACCTTTCTTTGGGTACCACCATATTTGACCTTTTATTTGATCATCAATAAATTTATGGACAGCAGCAAAAATATTGTTATTAGTAAGTACAGGCAAATCTTTATCACCCCATAATAACAGGTTTGTGTCAATTGTAACCAATTCATCAAGCAAAAACAGGTGGTTGAAAAGATTGTTCCTAGCATTTGCATAATTTCTACAGGCAAAAAATAACGATAAACATCTTCATATTTTCCACATGAACAAAGGGGACTGTTGATGATATTGCATTTATATAGATTTATATAGATCATAATTAAGTAAACAGTTGTGTCTTAGTTTAGTATGAATTATGTTTGTGTAGCGTTTGCCAAAAGAAAAATACGTTGGCGGATTGATGATTTATGTACAAGCTCTTTAAGTTTTTATGGAATGAATTAATTGAAATGGCTTCTCTTGTTTCTAATTTTAATAAGTTCCATTGTTTCACAGCGTCTGGTACAAATGACCTTTTCAATAGTTCTAATCTACATCTTGGAATAATAAACTGCTCTTTTTTGCGGGTATTGTATTTTGATACATTTTCATGCTTGTTTGGTACAATATTACTTAAATATTCAGGAACAGTCCCTTTATGAATTTTTAACATAGTAGTCATTTTTGCAATATACCGCCTAAATTTTAAAGTTTCCCAACCAGTTTCTAAATAAAGTGTTTCTGTAGACGCAAAAATAGGAAGTCCTGTGAAAATTCTAGCTGCAGCTAGTTGTACTTTTTCAAGCTTTTTCAGAATCATGTTCAGAGCAACCATCCCAAACAATAGAAGCTTATTCAAGCATTGGTCTAACAAATGTAGTGTACAATTTTGAAAGGTTATTTCTATTCATCTTAAACTTTAGTTTTTTCAAAAGCCCAAGTTTTTATAAGCATTGTTTACAATACCGTCAATATATGCAGACCGTGACAATAATAACCCCAAGTGTCTATGGACTGGAACGCACTCCAGCCTATTAATATACTATATTTTAGAGAAGAAAAAAAATCAGAATGGTGTCTCGGTTATCACTTTTCAGCCTTACTTGCTGATGTTTGCAAAGTGGTGATATACATTTCTTTTTTGGTTCAATATAAAGTTTAAGTCTCTGAATTTGGTTATTGTTATTTTTAAACTATTTTAGCTTTGTTGTTTCGAGCTGGGTACACGACTCATATCTAATAAACACTGTAAGTTAATATGTTCTTGGTTTGTTATTATGGATTAGAAAAGAAATGTTTTATTTGCGGATGAACAGAGTGAAGTAGAAAATAATAAAAAATAGTGATTTCTCTTGTTTGAATACATGGTTTCGACTTCTGCAAAACCCATTTCATTTTTATCGGCTTATTTTTCAAAAAAAAAAAAAAATGATACAGACTTTTATAATACATCATATAATGATCTAGGTAGATCACTGAATTTAAGATTTTTCTTTCACTTTGGTAGAAAAAAAATCGCTTGTTTCGATGCAATTTACATCCGATATTAAATATTTTATAATTTAAAAGATGCAAACATTAAAATATGCTGAAGTCACATGTAAATGGAATTTTTTCAAGTCATGTTAAAGATTTTTTTGGCTACAAATGTCTCTAAAATTTTACATGTGTAGATAAATGTGAAGAAACAAGAGCGTTCATTGTATGTTAGGATGCCTAACTTAAGAAAGTTTTGTAAACATGCCTGTCATTTATTTATCGTTTTTCAGGATTGTAACGTATCTTTCTGTGCGCCCAAAAACCGTTTACAGAGCAATATGGCTGTAAAAGTTAAATGGCGAATACCACAAGGCGTATATGCTGCACTATGATACTGTGGCATCTCGAAAAGTCGGCAACTCTTCAATTTCAGACATCTGTCGCTCAGTACATTGGTTCTATTTTAAACTGGTATGCACTCTGTGAATAATTGAATTAGTTAGTACAACTATTTAAAGGAATTACTGCACAATTTGACATGCTGAGTAGCCTATGCTAACGAATGACAAATATTTTGCATACAAAGCTCTTACAGAGGGGGTGGGTGGGCAGGAATACTTGTCCATATTATTTCTTTTAACGTATAATGATAAGCAAATAGTTTATCATTATGAATAGCTCTCTGGTACTCATGCACTTGAGGACAAATTCTGGTGATCATTTCATATTTCCTTTTTTCTGAATGACTAAAATTTAATATGTTACAAGTAATGTTTCAGTAACAGTTCTATCCATATGATATTGGTCTATTGCAAAAAATAATAATAGTAATAAAAACGTTCAAGGACTGAATTCAGGAACATTTTAAGTCCCTGCTCTGAAATCGCTAAATCAATAACAGTTTTCGAAAATGCTATGGATGAAGGGGAGTAAAAATTGTCAATTTTGTTCCCTTTTAATCATTTTAAGTGTATATTATATTCACGCCCACTAAAAAGACACACACAAAAACGCATTAACGTATGTCTAGTCAATTGAAATCTTTATTTTTTCCTTTCTAATGTGTATGTGTGCGTTTCCGGGGAGGGGGGGGGGCTTTATTTCACTTGATAGTTTTATATGAAAGTCTTGAGACCAATCATCCTTGATGAAAAGATCAATGCTATGT